GATGTAAGGCAAGAGGTCACCAGTTATGTTGATGCACTCATTCTTGTTATTCATGCTCGGATTTCGGTGTATTATCCAGAAAGCCTCGATAGTTTTTCTGGCACCAATACTGTCCTCGTGGGCCAAAATCGTGCACTTAACGTCAAAGTCACAACCAAAGTCTACCGTTTTGTTTTTGCACTGATTTCATTGTATGATAGTTATGGACTATTCAGAGATCATCTCCTCTTTGTGCTCCAGCCAGCTTCGTGACATAGAGGACAAGAATGAGGCACTGAGTCAAATTTTTTTCAAGAGCTTTAGAATAAAAATTGGATCTTTCATTGTGAGGGCAGTCAGTTCAAACGTTGTAGTACGAAAGGAACTACGTATAGTCAGAGCTGACGTAGCTGCTCCAGATGTCAATACATTTGGTGACGCAACCTCTGAGAAACATGGGAAATTACTGTGTGACATGTATTGCTAGAGTTTTTGAGGTGATTTTTTTTCAAATTAAGTACGTGCTTGTGGCTATTCAAAAAAGAATGTTTGTGATGCCAATATTCTTGTGCCGTGCGAGGTTGTCAGTTGGAGTAATTAACTGCCTAACGTTTCGACGTTATCGTCTCAGTAGCATTATAGATGATCTTCCTTATCACAAGTATTAGGTTGATGCATGATTATTGCGGATTTATTCGCGGCTTTTTTTCTCTCGATAGAAATTGAATATTGAGTTTGGGTTTTTTCTAGAAATGATCTACTTGATTTTCTCTACAAGAATATACTCAAAAAACCATCCGCATATTCGCAAAATTAGGCTTTACTACTTTGAGAAAGATTGGAAGGTGGCACAGTCATTCCGCGATCTCAGTGATTTTTCAGCGATCGTTCATTAGGTGATCTAGTGAAAGTACAGATGATTTCCTGGCGGTCAAACACGATTATTTTGATATTTTCTATTTCCCCTGCATTTTAACTTTTAATTCTATATATTAGGTTGATGCATAATTATCGAGGATTTTTTCCAGCAAATTTTACTTAAACAAACTATAGAATACTAGGCAAAGACATATCCAAATAACTTTTCCGGAACTTATTCACCACCTACGTCAAGCAGTGCTTTTCATTGATTAGTTAGTCTAATCCCAAAAGCGAAGAAGTTTTGATCCATACGGGCGATCCACGCCTTGACATCGGCCATCAAGTCATCCAAATCGACGTAACTTCTATTCCCTAGCCATTTTTTCGATGAACGCTTGACGACATAATCCATAAAAGTTTCTGCTGGTGAATACGACAGCTTTAAGGACAGATTAAATTTCTTGGTTGGCTTTGGCTGGTTGTTCGATCGTTGAAAGATACTGAGATCGCGGAATGACTGTGCTACCTTCCAATCTTCCTCGAAGTAGTTCTAATTTCGCGGATATGCGGATGGTCTTTTGATATGTTCCTGCAGAGAAAATCAAGTAGATCATTTCTAGAAAAAACCCGAACTCAATATTCAAATTCGATCGAGAGAAAAAAAGCCGCGAAAAAATCCGCAACAATTATGCATCAACCTCATATAAGGGGGACGGCCAGTAAGTCTCATTCGCTACTGACATTCGCCTGTGGCAGCAGCAAGTTTTATATCCGCTTGAGTGGTGGAACCTTGTTGAGTTATGCTCTGAATTATGGGTTTTGAACTCTCTGTGACATTCGCCAGAAGGTAATGCGCTATTTGGATACTATGCAGATTGTCTGGAGTTGCTTTAGGCCTCTGAAGAACACGACAACGTCAGGACTCTAGGCCGCTGATTAAAAAATTGTTCCACCAAAAAAACCTCGTACAGCACAAGGGTATTGCCATTATAAACAACTATGCCGAGCTCAAAGCAAGAGAGAAGTTGGAGACACTAGACTGCCCCACGAGCTTCCTATCCATTCTTCGTGAAAGTGTAAGCCCAGAAATACTCTGTTACTATTATTTGGAGACGATTTACTGTTGTCAATGGTTCCAAGTGAAATGGTTC